TTTCCAAGAAAAAAATATTCGACCACAAGTTTTATTTATACACTCATCCCCTCCCACGGGTATTTTTCTGAAACGTAACTTGTTTTTTTAGGTTTTTGTTTTAAATATACTTTTATGATTTCAGAGAGTTAGGAGAGAGGGAGAAGATAGAAACCATCATTATGAGATCATTGATTGGCCTGCCTCCTGCACGCCCCCCACTGGGGATCAAGCCCGCAACCCGGGCATGTGCCCTTGACCGGAATTGAACCTGGGACCCTTCAGTCTGCAGGCCGACGCTCTATCCACTGAGCCAAACCGGCTAGGGCTGAAACTGTAACTTTGATCGTTCCCTGCTGGGAAGCTCTCTGTGGTGCCACATAAAATGCAGATTTTAGATTGGCCTCAACCCCGGGCTCGGGCTCGTCCCACCCCATGCCACGTGGCTCCCTCCTCCCGCCCAGCAGCTGCCGCTGTCCCACTGTGAGCAGAGGGGCCGCCTGGCAGAGCTGCTCCCTCCTCCGTGTGCTCTCTGTTTGGCTTCCACCTGCTCTGGGCCTTCCCTGAGCTCCCAGCCAGAGCAGTCATGGACCCCTGTGCCCCGTCTTGACTTACATCCACTTTGTATTGTTGAGAGTTTTCTCAGCCGGGACCCAGTATTCTCCAGTGCTGTCTAAAGATCGTGTACTGGGAAGTCCTGGGCTGTAGGGTGGCTAACCAAGTGCCCGGCTCAGGGCCCCAGCCACGGAGCAGCACCAGGGGCTGAGGGGGAAGGCGGAGGGGGAACCGATGGCTGATTGGATCTCCTCTGAGCACACAACTGGCCGAGCGCCCGGGAGCCCTGCAGTGGGCTCGGGCCTCGCTGCCTCGGGGTGACGCCTGTCCCTTCCTCCAGATCCTCGTTCAGATCGTGGATGCCTCTTCGGTGATCACGTGGGATTTTGACGTGTGCAAAGGGGACATTGTGTTCAACATCTACCACTCCAAGCGGTCACCACAGCCGCCCAAGAAGGACTCCCTGGGGGCGCACAGCATCACGTCTCCCGGGGGCAACAACGTGCAGCTGATCGACAGGGCCTGGCAGCTGGGCCGGGACTACAGCATGGTGGAGTCGCCGCTGATCTGCAGAGAAGGGGAGAGCGTGCAGGTAAGACGTCGGCAACGCCCAGCTCGGTGGTGTGTCCTGAGGAGGGGGCTGTCGCCTCGCTCCCGCCCCACATGGCCGGTGCTGTCTGTCTGTGGGCACAGGTGTGTCCGGCCTGGTCCGATCAGAATGCCTTAGAGCAGAGGACTCGGGCCTGGTTTTGCACAGAGCCCAGGCCTTACTCTAAAGGGCGTGAGTGGCTTTGGAAGTGTATTCACAGAGGTGACCCGGGAGGAGGGAAGGCACTGTGTGCACAGCTGGGGTTCAGGGACTCCACCACCGCGCCCTGGCTGCGTTCCATGTGCTTCTGTCACCCTGAAGGAAGGGAGAGAAACGAGTGCTGCGGGGGCTGTTAAGTGTCTTGCTGGGCGTTCTAGTTTATTTAAAACTAGTGTCCTGGTGCATGGATTCGTGCACATGGAAAGGAAAGTAATTAGAAGAAATATTTTAATATCGCTCTTTGCCCTTTCTTTATAATAGAAGCGTCAGAGATGAAAGAAAATTAGTAAAATGTATCTATTCACATAAAAGGCTAAGTGACCAATAGTTGTGCCAATAGTTTGTCTTCAGATATATTCTGTCGACACTGCTGGCTTCTTTCAGCTTCAGAATGTCAACAAAAACAACCAAATTCATGATCGACAATGACAGATCAAAACACACGTGTGCTATTGGCGCCAGCAAGAGCTTTATATGTATCGCGCATGCGCAAGTCAATATTTATTTTTAAATCGCCGGTGCACATCATATGTGCCAGTCGACGGTTAGATGGTCGGATGGATGGATGGACGGACGGACGGTTGGTCACTTAGCCTTTTATATATGTAGGTGCCCCGTCAGTTCCTCGGTGAGACTCGGCGGCTGCTTTGAGTGCCTGCTCAGAAGGTGTTCTCGGTGCTTCGGGCTCTCAGAGCAGATGCGTGGTTTTGCTGCCATTCGTTTTAGGGATGAGCCTGTCAGTGTCCTGGTGTCTTAGAAGCAGAGTACAAGGAAGTAGCTGCTTCAGTTTAAAAATCATGGGCATTTTAAGCTACATCACAGTCCAATTCCAGAATTAACGGAGGAGGTAATTTTCACAGATTGACATTTGGTTTGGGATGGACTTCCTGTAACACGGAACACGTTAGTAAGATCATGGAAGTGTGTCCGAGAGCATTGCCTGGTCCACACGACCTTCTTTGACCCCCTCAAGGCCGAGCGAAGGGCCCTCTTGAACGCTTATGTCCCGGCCTTCCTCCCCCTGAGGCTGTGGCAGGTCCTGGGGGCAGACAAACTCAGTGTCACCCTCAGGGCCTTCCCAGCCCCTGGCAGAGGCCTGGCCGGCAGCAGCCCTGGTAATGACAAGCAGGTCCTTCCCCTCCCGGTGGTCAGTGACCCCGCTGAATCCGGGTGGACGGGACGCTCCCTGGGCTCTGGCAGACCCCCTGCGGGCGGGGGCCTGGAAGGGAGACCTCAGCAGCTTGCCCGACTCGTTCCAGGGCTCCCACGTGACCCGGTGGCCGGGCTTCTACATCCTGCAGTGGAAATTCCACAGCATGCCCGCGTGCGCCGCCACCAACCTGCCCCGTGTGGACGACGTGCTGGCCTCCCTGCAGGTCTCCTCCCACAAGTGTAAAGTGATGTACTACACCGAGGTGATCGGCTCCGAGGACTTCAGGTACGGCCCCTGGGCAGGGAGCCCAGGGCAGCGGCTCTGTGCAGGCGGAGGTGGCTTCTGGGCCGTTGGCCATCGTCAGTTCACGAGGTTGTCTGTGTGCAGGGCAGCCGGGAACCTCATCCTGGGGACCCTGGCGGGAGGAGGGGGCTGCTGAGTGGGAGGCGTGGAGAGCAGGTGGGCACAGTGAGGGTAGCGGGCGGCTCGGGCCTCATGCCTCACCCTCGCTGTGCTGTTTGCAGAGGCTCCATGACCAGCCTGGAGTCCAGCCACAGTGGGTTCTCCCAGCTGAGCGCCGCCACCACCTCCTCCAGCCAGTCCCACTCCAGCTCCATGGCTTCCAGGTAGTGCCGCGCCGCCTCTCCTCGGACAGCCCAGCGCTCCACCAGCGGCCAGTGCTGAGCCTCTCGCCCCACCCTAGGTAGCAGGTAGCTCTCGTAGTCACTGATCCCGACTCTGGACAGGTAGCTTCACTCTAACTCACCAATATCTATAGGCGTTGTATGCAGCGCGCAAGGGCTGTCGCGCAGGAGCGCAGTTCATGTGCCAGTTAAGAGGCAGACTCTGCCTCCAATGCAAAGGCAAAAAATGTCTGGACCACCCTCCACACTGTCCACGCGTCCCTCCCCACCCTCCTGCGGGGAGCGGCTGCGACTTGTCCCCCCCCCGCAGCCCTCACCTCCCTGCTGCACCGGCCTGTCACGGACTGAGCGGCAGCCTGCGGCCTCCTTAGAACAGACGCCGCTTAAGCTGGAAGGACTGAGAGCCAGATGATCCACGGCTCTCCAGTGGGTGCTGGGTCCGGGCTCCTGTGACGCCAGGCACCCGCCATCATTAAACACGATTGTCTCTCTCCTTTCTCACTTGCGGGCACTCAGAGCAGGGCTTCCTGTGCGGGCCCTGGGCTGCGGGCACTCCCCTCTCCTGGCGCCGTGCCCTTCCTGCCCGCACATGGGGTCTGAGCTCATTCCAGGCGTAGCCCGCCTGCCTCCCCTCCCCCCCGAACCTCAGAGCAGCAGAGCCCGGGCTACCCCGGTCACCGGGGGACTTTGAGCAGTCGGTCACTTTGCCATTTTGAAACTGCCCGCTGTTCACTTTTGCCAACCAGCGTGCTCATGGTGTGGCGGCTCCCGGATAGCGGGGGCTGTAGGAGCCCTGGTCTCTGTGGAAGGCAGTGACTCGTGTGGGCATGGCAGTGGGGCTGGCGGGCTGGGCAAGGAGGACCTAGTCCCGTGTCAGGCTTCTCACAGAAGCGAAGCAGCTGTGAGCTTGGCTGGTCTTCCACGTTTTCTTTTTATTCCCATTTACAACGATGGGTCTGTCTTGCATCGGCCCTCGTTTTCCGCTTTTTACGGGGAAAGCAGTTATTTTGGAATCTGTCTGGACGACATGGGTCGCCTCACGATGGAGACGCTGTGGCTGTGGCTGTGGCTGTGGTGGGCGTGGCAGGCGCGCTGCTGGAGCTGAGCGCTGAAACCCATGCACCAGCGCCGCTGTGTGACGGCTCACAGTCCTGGCTGCGTGGGTTTCAGTTCGTGGGGATGGAGAGCTTTGTGGGCACGTGTGCGGCCCCAGGGGGTGCCGGGGGGACTGGGAGCAGTGCGCAGCCCTCCGCCTGGTCAGTGAGGCGCTTGGCCCGCCCGCACACTGACGCGGTGCTGGGCTCCCGTGACTGTGGCCCCCCTGGAACACGCTGTGCATTCCTCCAGAAAGAGAAGCTCCTCACGGGCACCCAAGGCTCCTTCTAGAAAGCACAGCAGGGTTAGTGCTGCTGCCAGTTGGCGCCTCCTGCTTCCAAGTCATAAGGACCTGAAGGTGGTCCCTTCTCTCTCCCCCTCTCTCCGTCTCTCTCTCTCCCTCCCTCTCTCTCTCTCCCTCTCTCTCTCTCCCTCCATCCCTCCCTCCCCCCCTCCATCTCAGATGGCGACTGTGCTGAGAGCTGCCAAGAAAACACTCCAGTCACCAGTGCACATCAGCCCAGGGATGTGTGTAGAGCTGTCTGGCTCTCAGCCCCCC